GAAGGTTATTTCATAATTATTTTTTCCAAGCTAAACATTTATTATTTTAATGTTGTTTTCCTTCTCTCATTGGTGTGTTTATTATTCATTTCTTCAGTTGCCGTTATTCAAAACTTCTGTTTTGGTCATAACAGTATTAATAATCCATATGATTTACCAAAAATAGTTTCTGGAGAGAAGTGTTCCTTGTTTGTCTCTTTCCGTTTACGTGCTGTATAATCCAGACTCTGATACCTCTTTCGTGACCAGTAGCTTCAGTCGTTCTTTAGGAGCTTGCTTTGGTCTCTTCCTGTTTCAGTTCCTCTACAGTGCTGCTAGTGCATTATCTTTTTAAAATACAGATTTGATCATGTTACTACTGCCTTGCTTTGGAATCCTGTGACCTTGCTTTGGGACCCTATGTCTCTCCCTCTTAGATACAGAATAATAATATGAACCACTAGCATTTATGGATCAGAGTGCTGAGGGTTTTATAGGTGTCGAGTACTTTAATTTTGAGAAAAACTGTATAAAGCCAGCACTCCTTTTAGCCCCATTTTATAAACAAGAAACTGATGTAGAGAGGTTAAGCAATTTATCTAAGGTGCTGTAGTTAGTAGGTAGCAAGGCTTAAGCCAGCTCTGTTGACTCTGGGTTTCTCTGTTAGTGTGGCCCCAGTGGGGCCCCATGTGCATTTTTGCCCTCTTTCTACCCAGCTCTCCCCAACCTAATTCTTCAGTTCAAGGCTCCGCTTACCTTCTTCAGTTTACCTTGTAATTTCTCAACAATGACACTTTCACTTTCACTTGCAGCCTGTGGAAACCCTGCTTCTCTTTTTTACAGTTCTGCTCAAGTATCATACTGGATCCTTCTACTCCACCTTCCCAGTTAAAGTTTTTTATTCCCTCTTATTCTAGAATTTTGTTTATATTTCATTTTTGTCATTTGCCTTATACTGTCTAGTATTTGTGTTTATTTCCACCTTCCTACTAAATTGTAAGCTCCTGGAAGATAAGGACTGTTTTATCTTTATAAACTATGGGGCCAATATCTTACTCTTAGCAGACATGCAAGAAATGGGACTTTTTAAAATCAGTTTTATTCACACAAATATTTTATTAGACTTTTTATTTTTATGAAGCTGGAATGTGGAGTCCTCTTTTTATTAGCCAGTACCCCAGGTGGCAATTGAGTGTTTATAATGTGGCTAGAGTGACTGAGGACTAAACTTTTCATTTTATGTAATTTCAATTATTTTAAATTTAAATAACTGCATAGGGCTAGTAGCTAACCATATATTTAGACAGTATAGTGCTAGAGAATGGGAAAGACTGCTTATCTTTCAGGCTGAGAATAGATTAGCACAGTAAGTTCAAGATTATATTCTCCATCAGCAACTGAATATAGAAATCCTATATTTCTAAGAGAACGTGTTTTAAGATAATCAATGGTTATTTATTTGTAAGTTTGCTTTTCTGTTTTGGAACTTTAAAATTAAGCAGGATGCTTGAGTATGTGATTCACCTTTTAGATATTAATAGTTAGAAATTAATAGTGTTTAGGCCAAAACATTATGCTTAAAATTTTTTCATAAAATTGAGCCATTTGCTTATAAAAATAGAAAGCTCTGGGTATATTGATACAGGACTATTTTCCTGCAGTTTCCAGAGTGTGGATTCTTTGGCATGTATGATAAAATTCTTCTCTTTCGTCATGACATGAACTCAGAAAATATTTTGCAGCTGATTACCTCAGCAGATGAAATACATGAGGGAGACCTAGTAGAAGTTGTTCTTTCGGGTAAGTAAATAGCTTCTTTTATTTTTCTTTTTTTTTTTTCAGAGAGCCTCCTTTTCTGTACTAAATGCTGTATTCAA